AAAAATATTTTTGTAGTAAAAAAAGTAACAGGAATTGAGAAGAGAATCTGCTACTCAGAAAAGAAACATATTAATACATTTAGTTTACTTTTAATCACAGAAGCATATAACTTAAAAATAAATGTTTCTAAATAGTTACATAAAATAAACATTGATAGGTTTAGATGCATATTAACACATTTTAGTACTATTATCAACCAATTCATAATTATTCAGGAACTACATGAAACTGAAATGGGAAAATGAATTTAATTCATGCTTTTTAGTTTCATTTGTTATTTGATATACAAACAATAAAAACAGGATTTTTTTAAAAAAAAAACACTCAAACATACATGATGTTAAGTGCTTACTAAATCCACTATTTTATTGAATATCACTTATGCAAAGATCAGAAGGTGAGATTCCCTATAGCCCTCAAACAATCCCCCAACTCTCAAAGTTTTAGGTTGCAAAAAGAATAGGGACAAAAAATCTCCTTCCCCTACATAGATTTTTCTTAAATATCACACCAAGGTTCATAATGTCGTTTGTTTGATTTTTGGATCTGATTTAATGTGTTGTTTGAACCCAAATAGGGATTGGTTAACAGCTTTGACTGATTTGTAAAGCCAACTAATCGCTTATTCAGTATGGAATGATTAAGCAAAAATTTAATTCACTGTACAATGTAACTATCAATCCTGGTTTATTTCTAGCCAGATGTGAAAGGGGAGGAAGCAAATTAATTTAAACCTTTGCATGGTCTGCTTAAACTAACACTGGTAACATCAAAACATAACTTAGTTTAAGGAACATATTGGATTTGTTAATTAATATAGGAAATATAACAACATTCTGTGAATAGGTCAGGAACAAAACTCTGTTTACTGCTCATTTTTAGATGATGCTGTTCCCTATATAGTATTCCCAAGCATTCCACTATATTGACTTGATATTATACACTTTTCATTTTTTTATGTTGAGACTTAACCTGATGTTTCACTTTCTCTATGCCTTAGCACAAATGGGAAAAGCTGCTGGCAAAGAAAGGTGAATCAATGACTAATTATCATTGATGACTGGGATTAGACAGGTCTGAATGGACATATTTTTAATTTCATGCATAATTCTGGAACTAGAAAAGAGGACATAATAAGCACATTTTTCTAGTGTTTATACTTTGATTTTTTTTAATAATTCAATTTTATAAATCACAGAGCAAAGATTCAAGGAAATCATGAACAGTTTTAGTTATCTTAATGAATATTTAAGGAAACGAAAAAATAGTTAAGCTAGCCTGTTCCTTCATATTAAGCAAAATGAATGAGCATATCTGTCCCTCAAAATGAAAAGTATGTATGTATGTATGTATGTATGTATGTATGTATGTGTATATGTATGTATGTATGTATGTATGTATGTATGTATGTATATATAGGTCTTTGGTTGTTCGGGTTTTCTCCCGCGTAAAATTGGAAGTGTCTTGGCGACGTTTCGACGAAGTCACATTCGTCATCTTCAGGCTGGTGTTTTCAGCTTTCTTGCTTTGAGCAGCAAATGTGTGGTCTTAGCTGTTTCTTCTTTTAACTGCCATTTGGGTATGAACTGATTGGGTGGGAGCTGGCTGTGTGGCTGATTGTGCGGTGTGTTCTTGATGTTAGTGGTCTTGCCTGTGCTCTGATTGGCTGGGGAATGTCTGTTTAGGGTTTGTGCTCAGGTTTATCTGAGTGCAGGGGTTTAAAGATTTTGGGTTATGGAGCCGTTTGTCATAAGGGCAGGTTTCCAAATGGCTGGTAGGCGGGAGGTATCATCTCGCTTGTTCATGCTGTGTGGGCGTTTTTCTATCTCGATGGCTTCTCTGATTATTCTGTTATTAAAATGTTCACGTTTGGCAATGGTTCTGGTATTTTTAAAGTCAATTTCGTGTCCTGTGGCTTTAAGGTGTTGGACCAGGGAAGATGTTGGTTCCTCTTTTTTGACTGAGTTCTTATGTTCTTCAATGCGTGTACTTATTCTTCTGTTGGTTTGTCCGATGTATGTGGAGTGACAAGTGGTGCATGGGATTTCGTATACTCCTTGATTTTCTAATTCAATTTTATCTTTGGGGTTTCTAAGGATGGTAGATATTTTTCTGTTTGTGCAGAATGCTGTTTTGATGTTGTGTTGATGGAGGATCTTACTGATTCTGTCTGTGGTGCCTTTTATGTATGGGAGGAGGCTTTGCCGTTTTCTTGTTCTTTGTCTTGGATTTTAGTGGGGGTTTCTTTTTGGATTAGGTTTGTAATCTTATTTCTATGGAATCCATTGGATGTTAGTATATTGGTGAGAGTGTGTAGTTCGGATTTTTTTTTTTACACCTCTCACCAATATACTACATCCATGGATTCATAGAAATAAGTGACAACCTAATTCCAATGTGACAGACGCCGCCGACTACTCACCCCTTGAGGAACACCTAAAGCAGCACTGGACGATCGCTGGACCAGCAGTGGTGATCGCTAGTAGATAACCTGACCAGGAGCACAGGAAATTGCCAAAGAATGGTGACATTTTAATAACAGAATAATCAGAGAAGCCATCGAGATAGAAAAACGCCCACACAGCATGAACAAGTGAGATTATACCTCCCGCCTACCAGCCATTTGGAAACCCGCCCTTATTGACAAACGACTCCATAACCCCAAAATCTTAAACCCCTCTGCAACTCAGACTAACCTGAGCACAACCAAACGAACACTCCCCCAGCCAATCAGAGCACAGCCAAGCCCCTAACCATTCAGAACACACCTCCACCCAATCAGAAATGTATCTTTTGCAAGGGAAGCCAAAATGTAGAAGTGAGTTAAACAAAAGTAGTACAGTACTGTTATCAATTTACAAGGAGTTTTATATAGTCTTTTTACAATGTGGCCACTACAAACACCGCTCTGTTTGTGACATAGCACTAGGTATCAATGCAAATTACTTCTATGATTTCCAGACCACATAACTATTGTACAGACAAAATGACTTCCTCATCATGTTCTTGCACACAGAATATTACCAGAATATTGGTGCCACTACTATAAAAAAGATAAGTGGATCAGCTTTATCAATAGCAGAATTCTATGATGATGCTACCTACATGAAATATTGTAACTACTCTTGGGTTCTCTGTACATATTCTGAATATCCTGTATTGTTACTGTTAAAAGAATGTCACAAAAGAACACACATTAGGCCACAATTTGTTTAATCCACTATTTCCAAAATCAATTAATTTTCAGACATATTAAAAACCCCAGAGAAGTTCTGATGCAAGGTCCTCAATCAAATGTGAGGTATATATCTTATTTCATGTTCCTATCCTTGGAATTACAATGTAGCTGAAGGTAAACTGGCGTTAAAATGGCCTCTACAATAATTTAGATATTAGGACATTAAGCTAAGGTTTCTTTGCAACTAAACTTTTAAATGTTTTTAAGATTTTAAGCAAATGTATAGTTTAGTTGTACTGAAAATCACTGCTGTACTTCTAATTAATCTTGATTAACCACTAGGTTTGATTAAGCTTGAATTTCAGCAAACCTCAATCATATTCAGCTGCCACAGTCAGTTTGCCATCACCCTCTGGTGAATATAGTAAGCCAAACTTTCTCATTTTGGGCTCCATAGATATGGAGATTAAAATTGTATTTATTCTCAGGAGAACTTTAAAACATAAATATTAGTAAGTGAAGGATGGTTCTCTTATTCTCTCAAATAAAGCAATTTCTTTGTAAAGATGGTAGGGCAATGACCTCAAAGCAGAGTTCAATTCTTTCTCCCTCTAATAAAACAACAAATCCTACATATCAAGAGAGCTTCTGTTCCAAGTCCCTTTTCTCTTCTTTTGACTTCTGCAGCACATAATTGGTAGGTACGCATGAAAAGATGAGGCTGTTTTGAGTACATACCAAGAAGTATCTGTCAGTATTCTATATCTGAGATTGGCTGATTTTCCTAGAACCAATTAAGATATATGTACTGTATTTGTTTCTCAAAAATGCAATCACAGCCAACTGGTTTACTTGGGAGTGATAGTTTTGGTCTTTCATGCCTGCTAGACCCCCAAAAATAGTACCATCAAGAAGTTATGTCATCTGATTTTGGGAGTTAAAATCACATGGGTGTAGGAACTGAATTGGATACAATGCTCTGGGAGACTCCAGCTTAAAAAGGTAATAATAAATTGGAATACTGAGGACAGTTGAATAATCCTACTGAATGCGAATTTTTGGCAGGTATTGATAATTGTTTCTATCCATAATTATTATTAAGACAGCAATCTGAAGTAGCAACAACTTTATGGATCAAGATCTTGCAACTCGACTACTGTAGTTTTGCTTTCAACCAAACAAGGGACTACAAATAGTGCTAAAAAGCATGGGTGTTCAAAGAGGTAGTTTGCAAGGCTCCACCTCTCAATGCTTTGTGTCAGGATTCTGAAATGCCACAAAAACATACCAATAACTATGATGGACTGGGAAAAAAACTTCCAAAAAGAAAAGAAAAAAGGGGGGAGGGCACAGGGAAAGAGGGAGCTCCAAACAGCAACAACTTCTTGATATTACTATTTTTTGGGTCTGGCAGGCAGGAGAAGACCAAAAATATTAAGCCCCAAGTATACCAATTGGCTGTGATTTGCATTTTTGAGAAACAAAAAATATAGCGTGGGTTTTTTTTTTTTTTTTAAGAAAACCTTCTGAAGTTACTTATTTTAATAATTTGGCTCCATCTACTGTGGCCTTCAGCTTCCTTTGTTAGGATAATCAAGCAACTTAATACCCGCCTCTTCCCACATGTAGCTGCTGCCCTTCCTCCCCTACACTAACCTCAAGGGACACTTAGAGCAACAGCCCCAGCGCATAGCTACAGCTCTAGAAGGAAGGGTTCTAATGCCTGCGTTGGTGCTTACGAGGCTAACAAAGAGTACCGTTTCTTTCTAACAGGCAGAGCTTACCCACGCTGTTTCGCTTTCTCGCTCTCAACACGCTTACCTCTGTTAATACAGCCCCGAGAGGTTTTGTGGAGGTCTCAGGCTCAGACAGTAGCAAGCAACTGCTGCTTCGCGGGGGCGCGCACACACGCATACTTGTTTGGAGACCTAGGGAGTGGGGGGGGGGAGGCACCATTACGTATTTGGGGCGGTGAAGTAGCTTTCCTTTGCTTTTTTTTCCTGACGCTGGCCTGCTTACACGCATGCATGTGTACGCGCGTACACGCGTACCCACATACACACCCACCTTTGCTTTCTGGAGGGCGCTGAAGTGCAGCTGGTGCACGAAGGGACTCCGCATCGGCGGAGGGGGCGGCCCGCGTCTTTCTCCGCTGCCTTCCTCCCCATCGCCGTTGCCTCCGCTCCGGGTGCAGCATCCCCGGCCTTTCAGCCGCATTGTGCGATGCGAAAGAGGAAGGGGGGGGGAAATCGAGGGGCGAGAGCGCGAAGAAAGAAAATGGGCGCAGAAAAAAGAAAAAAAAGAGGAGGGGGTAAAGGGAGGAAAATGTACTTCCGATGAAGGAAAAGGAAGAGTAAATGTCGGGGTTGCGATGAATAAACTAGGCCAACCGGGGCTGCCGTCGACAACGTAGTTAGCGGAGGTGGTGGTGGCGGCGGCGGCGGAGGAGGAGGAGAAGATCTGGTCAGATACCCACCGTGGGCTCTCCCTGAACCGGCAGGGAGTGAAAGAGGATGCGCGGCTCTGTCAGACGCCGCTTACCAGGCTTCGGCTTCAGCCCCGCCCTCAAGAAGGTGCATGCGCAATAGGCGCAGTGATGGGGAAGGAAAGCGCGACAGTCGCTTGGCGGTTTTAGGACAAGGGGCGGGAAAAGTAGGAGCAAAAAGAAGGGAGCCGGCTTTGTCCGGAGGAAAGAGTTGGTCGGCAGGCGCGCGGTCTTCATTTAAAAGGAAGTGATTTATTGATAATCCTCTTCCCATCCTTTGGACACACCTGCTTCCAATCTCTTCCAAGCAGAGCTTTAAGCAAACCTAGTTAGGGGACCTTCCAATTATTCAGTGATTTTTTTTTTTAAAAAAAATCATTAATCCTTTTGAAAAACAAGCCATACACGTTGATGTATTCGTGCATAAGATTTCTCCCAGACAAAGTTGGATTTTCATTTACAAAAGTGGAATCACATGGAATGAGGGTAGGAATTTACATTGGTAGAGCAAGCATAGATTCTGTAATGATTGGTTAAAGCCAACGGTAGTTATTTAGGTCTAAAATTCCTGGAATTAAGTCTCATAATACTGAATGTTCTTCCAAATAAATGTGCAGGAACGTTACTAACATTACCACAAATACATCTTGAATTAAGTACTGTTGTAAAACATCTTTTATAAAATACACAATTGTATTAAATTATGAATGGCAGTGGGGATAAGAAGTATTGCTTAACTCAGTTTTCTAAGTGAATTGGAGACAAAAAGCAAGATGACTTCTCAGCAATAGTGAGCAAAAATATTCATTAGTGCATGATATTCAGTAGTGGTATTAATTGATTTCAAAAGTGTACATAGCCAAACAATTCTGTTTTATGTAATAAAATAGATTGTTGCCCATAAATTGTAGACAAAGTTATTTGCACATGGGTACTAGTCCACAGATTATCAATCTGCCTGAATATAGAATACAACTTCAGGCTTACTTTCTATCAAAATGAAATAAAAATACTACCTGAAAGACTTAGTAGTCTTCTTTTTTGACCTTAGATTAAGAGACATCAAAAGTGATTGAAAATTGAATTGTTCCTTGAAATAAGAAAAGGATAGTAACTGTTTCAAATGAACTGTTTTGCAGAGCTAGATCTCTCAGGAAAGGCAACTTTGTTTATGTATCTGAATTCTACCGTGTCTTTTTATATTGACAAGCACAGCTCTTACCTCTACTATGAGTTTCTATTCTGTTACAGTTCATTGATTAACTACAATAAAGACAATGAAGTATGTAAATGCTAGGGTACTTCCTCAGAGTGGGACTTGCTGATGTCAGCAAGGATATTTCATAATCTGCTTTTATAATCCATAGTTCAATTTTTGCAGCTTGTTTCAGGAGGCATTATTCTATGGTTGGTGCCCCTTTACAATAAATGTTGACAATGATTGTTGTTAATTTTATGAACAATCCTAAGACTGTTTAGTAAATTAACTATATGCTACTGGGTATTGACTCTTACGATAAGGATAACTTTGCTCACTGTCTTGAGGGGTTTTAGATTGGTTTTATTGTTCAGCAGCTTTTCTTTGGAGCCTGAAGGAGCCCTTAAAGTATTTTTCAGGCCTCAGGGAATCCCTGCATGTTCAGACTGAAATACAGGCCAGAAGGTACAAAATAATTATAGTCCTGTAGTCCTGTATATTTGCATTAACAAACTAAAGAAATGTTTCCCTCCCCTCCCCACTGCTTTATGAGTGGCTCCTGCTGCTGCTCAGGTCAGACCAGATTCAGATCTCCTGTGCCTGGCCTGAGACAGAGTGCCCACCCTGGGCCATCTGGCCTGAAGAAAGGCAGGTATATGCCTGCTGCCACTGGTACCCAGGCTAGTCCTAGATCTCCTGTGCTTGTCTTAAGACAGAGCCCCCACCACCACCATCACTGTGACTGCAGAAAAGCAGCCCTGCATCCTTAGAAAGGCAGGTGTGTGCCTGCAGAAAGGCAGGTATGTGCCTGTTGCTGCTGGTGCCCAGCCCAGCCCTAGATTAGTGCCTGCCCTTAGAGAGAGCCCCTCCCTCTGGGCCTCTGCAGTTACAGAAAGGCGGGCCACACCCTCAAGGAGAGCCCTAGCACAGAGACCTGGTAGCATCTCTCTCATGTGTGCTCTGTACCGTCTACTGCTCCTTCTTTCCTAACTCCTCTTCTACATCTTGGTTTTCTTAGCATCCTTTCAGGTGCCAGACACTAGGTACACATTGTTAAAAGGAGGACTTGGGTTAAGGAGAGAACTTGTTTCCAACAGCAAGGCAACAGGAGTTAGCATATCAGAAATCTTTATTATGGTCATAGACCAGCATTAAAAAAATAAAATACAATTTTAAAAGCTAAAAAATGCAAAAGCAAGAAAAAAAGCAGTTACTTGCAGATAAGAACTCAGCTAGGCAAATGTGAATTCCAAGTCAAGCCATCCAAAGTCAAGCTGAAGATTTACAATGCCAAGTCAAGGGAAGGACAAAGGCTTAGTTAATTAAGTCAGAGTAGTAAATAACTAGATTCTAGGCAGAGTCATAGAACATGAACCTAAATGCTCAAGTTGCTTCCTGCAAGGGAAACCCAGTTCTGTGAGACTTGAATCCTCTACCTGCCTAGCTTGCACAGCAGTTGTCAATCTTTGCTGGTGAGCCTTGCTGCTTGCTTGTAAGTTGCACACTTTGGCAAGGAGGAATTGCTGGGCGGGGGCCAAGTGAGTGCCTGAAGCAGCCTGTGTTGCAGCTGAGCTGATTCTGACAGCTTGACATTCTCCCTTGCTCCTCATTCCTCACCTCACCCTTTGCTCATCACCCTGCTTGTGCGCAAACCACAATCTTGCCCAGGATCCAAATATGCTCCAGTGGAGGCTAGAAGGTTTTTGTTTTGTCTCTTTTTTAAAAAAATAAATCATGATTTCCCAGGGAATCCCTAGCGCTCCAGTCGAGAATCTCTTTTGCAGAGAAGGACAGAGGAGACTTTGGAAAAGGCATGCATTGGTTAGCAAAACATGATTTAATTCCATGACGGGAACAGACATTAGAATTAAACTTAAACTAGATCTGCCTTAGCTATCTTTTCAGCAAGTATCAGGGGATCAGTGCCAGGCTTTTAAGACTGATATTATTATCCTTTCATGGTAGGCCATGTTAGGAAACTAACTCCATTAAAAAATATTGGAAATCTATTTTAGTAATATAAGGTATGGGAACTATCTTGAAGTTTTATGTTTCTAACATGATTTCTTTTCCTGGGCTTAAAAAATGTTTTGCTAACTGTTAACATTTCTTTTCCAAGTCCATATTTATGATTTTCTACAGATCTATACAAAGTGATTTAAATTAAAGATGTATTAGTTGAGTGTAATTCTGCACCAATTTGCCACATGCAAGAATTTTTTTGTGAATGTACTGCTTGTATTTGAAGTTATCTTTGAAAATAAAACTGCAAAATTCTAAATTAAGAGAAAGATATATTTATTAGATTTATATCCTGCCTTATACAACTCAAGGTAGTATACCCAATGCTCCCTCCTCCTATTTTCCATAACAGCAACAACCCAATGAGATAGGTTGGGCTGAAAGAGAGTGACTAGCTCAAAACATTCAGCAGACTTCCATGCTGCCACCCCTTTTGACTTGCTAATTTTCTTTATGGGCAGGGAAGTGTTCATAGATCAAAGAATTGTTCTCATCTACCATTATGTGATTTCTCTGCCTATGCAGAGGGCATTGCTCTGGGGCCTTCTGTGTGTAATTTTAAACTATTTTTCAAATTATTTATTTTTCAAGGCACTGTTGTTAGGCATACTATAGCAGGGGTGTCAAACGCGCAACGTCATGTGACGTGTCACAACGTATCGTGATTTGTTTTCATTGCCGGCAATGGGGTGGGCGCGGTTTCACCATGATGCATCCAGCCCATGGGCCGGCAGTTTGACATCCCTGTACTATACTATTCTTTTACATATATAAAAATCCTGTTATTCAGAGGCTTTATAAGCAGATTGGTTAATCTGTAGTACTTCTGCAAAATAGTGTAAAGCTTTCCCTTATATCTGTTGATGGTGATGACTTTTAATGGAAACTTTAGACATAAGAGTACATGTATCTGTACATTTAGGTTTTAACTAGGGAATTTTAGTTTATCAAAGGACATAAGCAGCGCCTGATATCTGAGTCATAAGTGGCTTCTTCCCCAAAAATAAACATATTTTTGGAGATACTCATACTCTTAGATATACATATCCTACTTCAAGAACATAAAGTATCACTTATCCTGGAGAACAGAGAGTGCTAGAAATTGAAGTATTTTGCTGATACTTGATTTCCCCTCTAGAAAAGCATACAGTACTTATAAATTACAGCTCACTCAACCTAATTTACCTTCTATAAGTAGAGTAGTAAGTTGTGAAAGAAGAGCATTACATGGTTAATTTACATGCAAGAAAGAATTTCAGCAAAGGCGGTTTGCACTTCTGAAATTCCATCATCTATAGTACATTGGTTTTAAAAGACTCTTCTCTTCCATTTAGCTATTCTTACCACAGAATATTAGGGCATGTCTGAAGATGCAGATTTATCAGTAATTATTTGTCTCTGTGTCTTTATAATGCATAATACCTGTATATTAATATCAATTTAGATCCAAGAAAATCAAAAGCATTAGATTGTTAATCATCACTTAAGCTCCTTGTTTCCTACCAACTACTTTGTAATTTTAAATCTTAAATTAGTTATATGAAATAATTTCAAATTTGCTATGGAATCTGCTTTTATATTATCTAAAATTATTTTGAGGGGGGGGGGGGCTTGATGCACTCTGAATTTGGTTGTTTTCTTACTGATGTTTCATTATCCAGACTAGGTACATTGTCAGTGCTAGTGATGTTTAGTATCAGAAGCGAGCGCTGTAATTATTTTTACATTCTAACATTCAAGTATATACATAATTAGCTGTAAATAGAGCTGTGACCAATGAGATTTAGTTTGTCTTATAGGTTTAGGTTGGTAGTCAGGTGGCTTACTTGACAATGTTTAAGTGAATTAGTCCAGTTGCCAGTGTTTGCATTATACTGTACTGTAAACCAGTGGTCCCCAACCTTTGTGGCTTGGTGGTGCATCTGGGTGGGGGGGCTGCAAGAGGGGAACCAGGCTGCGCAAACAGCGGGCTGGCATTCACATGCATGCACACACAGCTTGACTATTTGACCTGTGCAGGCATGCGTGCTGACTTACCACTCCAAGTCATGCTGTGTGTGCACTGGTCCAGTTGCAAATAGGCCACGGCCCGA